TAAGAGGCTAAATGAACTGAAAGTGATTTACTTCCTCATGCTGAATAGTAGAGGCAGATGGCACAATTTGAGCTCTGATAATAGAGATTTTATTAATAAAAAATGAACAAAATAACTCACATTTCTCAGAAGAGAATTCATTAGAAATAGGTGATTTGTAAATTAAAGAGTTTATAGTGTTAAAAGTTTTGGATTATACAAATTTGAAGCAATGAGGGCTGAGAAATATTTAGATCTTTCTTCTTTAACCACTCTGTTACAATCTTTCAAAAGATTTTTCATAGTAAAATAGTCGCAGCTCAAATGATGAGATTTGTATTTCCGCTCAGCACGTCTACATGCCCTCCTGATGAATCGAACACCATCATTTATCCAAGGTGCTGGTTTGGACAAAGCAGAGTGGGATTTAAACATCTTAAAAGGGGCCGCAGTGTCCAGTGTTACTGCACATCTGCTTAATAATTCTGTTTCCAGATCATCTGTAGAGAGATGAATCTGACTGTTGAAGCTGAGGATAACCTTGATAGATTTCATAAAATTGTTCCACAGTCTGAGATGTGATACGTCTAAACCGACATGGGGCTTGGTTGTTTGAGGTCTCAACAGCTAAAGGAAAGATAACTAAAATAGCATCATGATCAGAGATATGTGTATCAATAATGGAGAGATTGACTATGCTGAGACCAGAAGTAATAATTAAATCAAGAGTATGACCATGTTCATGTGTTGGACCAGAGACATGATGAGTACAGTCAAAGATATGAATAAGATCAAGGAACTCGTATGCAAATCTATCATCATGATCATCAATATGAATGATGAAATCACCAAGTAGAATTACTTTCTCATAGTTAACAGTAGTGATAGAGAGAAGATTGACAAATTCAGTTAAGAATTCACCTGTAGGGCCTGGGGGGGGATATAATAAACCAATAAGAACAGAGCGTTTGCAGGAATAAAATGTTAAAAGTTCAAAAGTATTAAAATTGCCCATAGTTATAGGTGTGCATTTGTTGCGATTTTTAAAAATAACTGCAACCCCTCCACCATGACCAGACAGTCTGGGAGAATTAAGGAAAGAAAACCCAGGAGGACAGGCCTCAAGTAGAGGGGCATCAATATCAGCCCAGGTCTCCATTAAAAACATCAAACCAAGATCATATGAGGACATAAAATCATTAACTAATAAAGACTTATTGGAAATAGACCTGACATTCCATAAACCATCAGCGGGCTACGATGATGGGAAGCAGGAACAGTAATTAAAGCAGACGAAGCCGTCCTGAAGGTTCTACAACATCTGGAACGCCTGTGATGGTGAGATCAAACAGAGCAGAAACACAGAATGTTGGAACACAAGGAAAAGATCGGAGCAAGAAAGAACAAGACATTCTGGTCTGTGTTGAACTCTACGTTTATTAAAGATAATACAGTGTTAGCCTTTTTGACATTAATTTAAAAAAATAAGAAGTGAACAGGAAGCAGCAGCTGTTAAGTCTCTGAACTGGCCCTTCAGTCTGTTTGTCCCCCGATGGCTTGAGTGGTAATGTTGGAGTTGAATTTAGGTTTAAATCTTTTTTAAATACAAGAATGTAGCTCGTCTTCTTGACCCAGGTGATTGTTGTAGACAAATTCATTGTTCTTTGATTTTAAGGTTCACGTGGAAACATGTAGCTACGATGACGAGCTTACGTTGTTTTTATCCTAAAAGGAGCGATTTCATTTGATTAGGAATACAGGACTTGTGTAAACCTGCTGGTAAAGGGTTAACCTTTATTCAAATAAACCACAAAGTGCTGAACAGAAGCTCTTTTTAACAAGACTTTAAACTTTATGCATGAAACGCAGAAAGCCAAATCTGTTTTATACAAATGTTTAACTTTTTTAACTACTTGCATCATAGTCAAGACAATATAACTGACTCATTTAAATACTTTGTGACCACCGCTCAGGTTCATAGATCTGGTCCAGGTCTGTGCCCCTCTACCTGTGGTCCTGGTAGGATCAGAGTAAAACATTCCTTGAACAAGAACTGTTATGGCCTACAGCGTCAGGTTCATGACTACTCATTAAAAACTTGGGAAGAGCTCGTTATCACAGGAGGCAAAGTCAAGTTTTTCACCATAAAGGTGACTGGACTTCTGAAGTGTTGAAGGGGTTTTACTTCTCATCTAAGAAACTTCTGAAATTCAAGCCAACATGTGAGCAGCTCCAGACTTTCAAAATGCAAACTGAGAAAAAAAATCTGTCCCGAGTGCAGGGAAACAGCTGTTTATGTCAAACAACACAGGAGGTCTCGTCCACATGGAAACAGGTTTTTTTTCTTCCAAAAACAGTAATTTCTAAAAAAAAAAAAAACAAAAAAAAAAACATCCTTGTAAATCTTTCTAGAAACGTCTTCATCCACATGGAATTGAAAAGAATCCAAAACGCTGTAGGTGCTATGCCAGGCCTGTATGTGGCGCTGTAACTCTGCCATGACGATACAGCAGAACCAGCAGCTGGAGCATGAAGCTGTGGGCACAAAATGGAAACCAGAGGAAGAAGCAAGCGCCCTCAGTACAGACATGGCATCGTTTTCAAAAGGTGGCGTTTAGGCCGTCTACACACAAAAACACAAGGTTTGCATTTCATGATTTTTTTCTCTCTGGAACCAGTTTTGGAAAAAAAAACTATTTGAACATTTCCATGTGGACACAAGGCAGAAAAAATAAACTTCTGAGTACTTGGAAAAAAGAAATGCTCCCATGAAGACAACCCAGTTTTCAGTTTTCCAGAACCTAAAATGTTACTTTGATTCTAACCTTCATTTGTAGTCCAGTTTCCACCTTCCTGCAGGGAACCACCACATTTCTAATGTAGACCAGGCAAGGACCCTCAGGAGAGAGGACCAGGACTGTGATCTGCATGGGAGTTCTGCTCCCGTGAACAACTCAGTGCAGCTTAAAAGCTTCAAAACACAATTTTCAATTTGAACAGAGAAACCTCCTCGGATGAGAACGTCTTCAAAAAACAAGAGTTGTCTTTAAAAAAAGACTAAAGTTCTTGCTTGGGATTGGCGAGGACTGAAAATCAGCGCCAACATAAATGTCAACGTTAGTGAGCGAACGTCACGTAACATCTGACTCTAACTTCAATTATTATCTAAATAAGAAAAGAACACTTCAGATAAAACATTGGAGCCACAGTCGAGGTTAAACTGAACCATCACTGACCAGGAGGTAAAGCTGCTTCATCATTTCAAACATTTATTAAAATCTGACTCCGACTAAAAGGAACAACTCCTTCATCAACACTAACCTGCCGGCTCGCAAAGTTTCATCAGACAATTCAGGCACTCGTTAACTTGACGTCCTTGATAGAAATGTTTTCTTAAGGTGGACTGAATCTCCTGGACCACAGTGTAGGACGCACATACTGGACCAGAACTGGGCTTTGGCTGAGCCATAAAACCTGCTGATAATTCATTTCAGTATAATCACCCTGACAGCGATGGTTGTCAGTTAGACTGGTGTGTGTAAAGATGAGATCACCGCAGAGTGTCCACAGGCCGGTTACAGCCTCCAGGACCCTGGTCTGAAGACTGGTCCTGGTGTTATGAGCAAACCAGTAGAACCCAGATAAACCAGTGGGAGAGTCTCAGTTGGTCTGTTTTGTCTACATGTATAGTTCCATATGAAGTGGGGCCGTGTTCCCCCCCAGGCTCAGTGCTGATCAGTCGCTTCCGGACAAGTTGCCTCTTCAGAGAGAAAGGTGGACCAGGATCAGGGCTCTGCGTGGACAGTCTGCTTAAAGCTGCTGGCTGCTGATGTTCTCACCTGAACCTCGTCCTTTACAATCATTTTGTAGGAGCGACCACGTGGATGAGGCTCTACACGTGCCTCGTCCACGCCACAGTCTCGCATCATGGCTGACTCCTCTGTTTTTAAAGCTCATGACCCACTGGGTAGTTCCTGGTTGGTGTGTGGTGTCGGCCCAGTCCGGCACACAGGCCGACGTGTGCTGGGGTTTACAGGAAGTTAGCAACGCATTAAGAGGGAGTCCTCGTGAATCTGATAGGAACCCTAAACCCTGACGAGTTCATGTTGTCCAGTCTTCTTGTTTCCAGTGAACAGGAGCACTGGTACCATGAGCTCGAGCGTAGCCCTCAGAGTAAGTGGTATTTGTCGACTGCGGATCAGGAAGAACGATCTAATCCACAGCCAAACATCGTCTTCGCCTCAGATCTGACCGGATCAACTTCGGCTGGTGCTCTGGAGTTCTTGACGAAGCCAGGACGGTAGTGGTTGACCCAAACGGTTCAGCAAACGCAGCAGCTCGATGTTGTGGTCACGGTAGTACTCTGCTAGGAAGGCACGGGACTGTAAACAGAGCAGAACGGATCAGAACCATCATGTTCTACAGAACATTAAAGACCCGTGCTGTCCATGATGTACCTCAGGGCTCATCTCTGGATACTTCCTGCCTTTACTCTTGCCCAGACATTTGGCTCGACCTCCTTCCACTCGCTGACACCAGAACCCTTTGCTGTCGTCATACCTGGAAACAAAGAGGTTCATCACGATGCTGAGCACCAAACAGCTTCTGGACATGTTCTGTAAAGACCACCGAGCAGAATAACCACTTCAGTCTGAGGTGACACTTGACTTTTCACCTCTAGTGAACAGAACTGGATTTAAAGTTGAAGTTGTGAAGAGATAAAGATGAAGGCAGAATTTCTCCAGCTCCAAACTGGGAGTGTGACGGTGTGTCATTGTGTGAACGTGAACTGCTTCCTGAATGGGATCGTTTTGAACTTAAAACAGTCCACAAACAGGAAGTAGGCTGTCTTTTGGACTCTTTGGTGACTTAAAGTACCTAAATAAACGCTCTTACAGCAAAAGAAAGTGAAATTATTCCTAGGACTAAGATCTTTGACAGTGTCATTGCACATTAGTATTCTAGATCCTGTGATGTCCCAGCAACAAAAAGTGCTGCATCAATTCTTGTTACTATGATGTTTCACAGGATATATTTTAAATATACAAGACAAAATCCTATTTGAAAAACACTCGAGTGCAGTGGTGGGAACAGCTAACCAAAAAGTTACCTTCGCTAACCCATATTTCACTAGCTAAATAGTGAAATAGCTTAGCTAACGCTGATAAACAGGTAAAAAAAATAAAATAATGGAAGCTAACACTAAACTGCTCAGTCTGCATCACACATCTTTGTCTCTTTCCAGTTGAAGCTGTGTCGACCAGTCAAGTGTACACATAATAAGCCAATAGCGCCTCACAAACTCTGAGACACGCCCACAACAGACAAGAACAAACGTGTGAATTTTGTTAAGAGGATTTTAAAAAGTTGGCAAAACCTAATTTAGCGAAAGCTAATTCTGCTAACGATTTCCAAAGTTTGAGAAAACTTAATCTGCTAAACAAAAAATTTATTCTGCCATTCGCTGTTAGCAGATTAGTGGATTAGCAGAACTGTGCCCAGCACTACTTGAGTGAGTTAAGCAGTAAAATACCTCCGACAGCCGGAAAGTTACGTTTGTGTAGTGTAGAAATGTGTGAATGCTCTGGTCTGAAGGACGCATGTGAGTGTTACAAACATTAGAGCCTGTGTGTAGTTGAAGACAGGAGTAACACCGAGGAACCGCTGGATTCCCTCCATCACCAGTAGGGGGTTGGATCGCAGCAAGGCTCCGTCTACGACATGCAGCTAAAAACAAACAGAAACAGGAAGTGATCAGGACTCATCAAACGAGGCAGATAATGTTCAAATGAAGGAAGACTTAAAAGCTCTCAAAACACTGATATTAGATTCACAGATTAAGGTGATTTGTGGATGTGAAAGATTCAGAATTCATTTTCAAAAGTCAAAAATGAATTTTGTTCATGTTAACCTGTGCTGCCACTTCAACAGAATTGTTGCTGGGTGTAGTTTGTCCTAGTAGAGCTACCGTAGCTTCCTGTTAGAAACATGCTGCAGTAATGCTGTTTGTTTTCACATCTTTTCTCCGCTCAAGAATCAAGTGCACGTCTGTCTGTGACAGCTGAAGTTATCAGAACATGAGTGACTTTAAAAATGACACTGAAATATTTGCTTTGTGTGTAAACTACCAGTGATAAACACAATGCTAATCTTGTTAGCTTTCTATAGTGTTCTCAAAGTTATGTTAGCATCTATGCTAACTGTTTGTCAGCAGCCTGTGGTTAATAGGTTTTATGAAGTGTTATTGTACACCCCATATTAAACAAGAAAATATAAAAACCAAGGTTTTTCTATACGAGACATAAGATAACCATAATCACTGAAGTTTCAGGACAACTGATATGCATTATTTATAATCACATCCTAGCACTCTGATTATATACAGTAGTCCCTTACTACTTTGCAGTTCATTTATCGCAGACTCGCTCTATCGCGGTATTTCAAAATAAGATTGGACATGATGACAGACAATTGGCTGATTGATGGATGATCAGCATGGAAAATTTATTTAAAATATATATATTTTAATTATTTAGCACCTGCTGAACATTTGTGCAGCCCATACTGCAGGATAAACTTCCTGCTGCAGCTGATCAACTGTTCACTGTGCAACATAGAAATGGGCGTGGCCAAGAGCGCATGCAGGTGGCAAAGAGCAGAGGAGGCAGGGAGCTGAAATCATGACATTCTGTGCTCTTTTAGAGCTTTAGAGTTTAGAAACATTGTTTAGAATATTGCAAGAGTGTGGGGGATTAAAATGCCTTTATAAATATATACATACACACACACACATATATATATATATATATATATATATACATTCACATATACATATATATATATATACACATATACATATATACATATACACATATACATACACATATACATATATATATATATATATATACATATACATATATACATATACACATATACATATATATATATATA